GGGGGGGGGGGGGGGGGGGGGGGCATTACAAAGACGGGATTGATAACGTCGAAGACTCTATTACTTGCCAGTAATCCTGCCCACACCATTCGAGTAAGTAGAATATACTGAATGTGCAAATGTCTTCCTTCTCACAAGTAAACGGTGGCTTACAAGTAAAAAATAAAGTTACTGTGCAAAATTAAAGTTCAAAATTCAAAGTTAGTCTGAAGCTACGCAACCAAACGACACATACAATAACTGTGACGGAGCCATAAAGGGATCAGAGGTGGCACCGCAGATCATCTGTCAAAGAGGGGCTAAAGCTGTCATTAAGTCTCAAAAGGTACTAGTAACCTTCCTTAAGTAATCTTCCCCATATCTGCGGCTGCAAGCTGCACACTTTGTGGTTCCTAACGAGTTATACTCATTTAAATCGAAATAATTTATCAATTTCCTTTCACCCGCAGATTGGACGGTCGCTCAAATGAGAATCTGAACCATAGACGCTACTGTACATTATTGTAATTACTTTCCAATCAATAAATGTGACCCAGTAACTTGAGGAAACATGTTTCGAATTCGTTTCACACTAAGTGAAAATCTGCAAGATTTCCCCGTGGAATTGGCGCATCTAATCTAACTAATTAGCTCCCCCAATGTTCTCCTTTCAACACGAACGCGATGAAGACGGACGACTTCAATCCTAAGCACTTTTGCAGCGGCCATCTTGGAATTGAATTCTGAGGAGGGAAATTAAAATTGCGGTTTTTTTCACAAAAAATCAATGGCACAGCTTGAATTTCTCATTTATCTTAAAGAGGAAAGAGTATAAGCAAAACCGGAATAGAAATGGACTCCACAAACGAATTTAATTCAGGATCCTGTGTGTTGTAATGGCATTACTTGGCGCTACATCACCCTCACCCTTGAAAGCCTCAGTCATGATAAGTCCTATGAGATTGCGCCATGCCTATAACTTCTACCCAATTTCATGGAACTCAAATGACATCGATCATGGCAAGGGGAGAAACTATTGGGGAGAAAGATTTTGTGGTCTCATATAACGCGTACCCAAATTATCACTGGGATGGAGACCTATTCCCTCCCGATTGAATGATTGGACTTGTGACCACGCAGGTGGCCCTGTCCCATTTGATACTGGGCCTCCAATCTCTTTCTATGGCCTATTATAACTGGTAATACTACGAATAATACTTACTGACCCGTACGATGATAATCCCATCCTTTTCCTTGGATATCACCTTGAAACAGTTGTTGCATGACGTCTGCCGTACCAATTTGAGTAACACTAATTGCCGTATTCGTCAAAAGAAGGTGCCTTGAAAACCGCTGGCTTATTTCCTAAATAAGAATTTGAACTGTGAAGGCGAATTTCATGAAGAAGACCATAAAAACTAAAAAGTAAAAGGCCATTAATCACCTTCAAGATTTTCATGCCGAGTTGAAAATGATCAGTCGAACAAGTAGGAAAATGATCCTACGAGGCGAAACAATGATGCAGGCTCTGTGAAACACTTAGGTTGAGAAAAAATCCTACAAATTCCGAAACAAAAGACACTAGACATGGGGAAGTCTTGAACATGGCTGAACGTCAGTGAATACATTAAAAAAGTACCTTATGTGGGACCCTACTGGCCCCTTCTCAGTGGTGTCCTCGATGGCATTGAGCGTCCATGAAGGGAAATAGCTGTAGGGAGCCTCCTAAAAAGGAGTTCCGGAAAGTCATTGGTCAATATAAGAAGCTGTGACAGTATGTAGAAGCATCCAGCTCAAGTTTAAGGCTTCAGATAAAATAACCGTCAAAGGATGAACTCCATCCTTGAGAGATTTAAATAGTATAGTATAGTATAGTAGTAAAGAGATTCCTTTGGATCGATGAATTTTCGAACAACAAAATGCTATAACTAGGAATCGAGGACCACCACGACTGCCGCCGCGGCTCCATCAAGTAAGTGAGTTTAGCCCGTGGGTTAGAACGAAGGCATCAAACCTCGCCTTCGTTCTAACCCACGGGCTAAACTTTCACAGAGATAAAGGTTCTGCAGGAACGTTCTCGGCTCAACAATTAAGGGTAAATGACAGTGGGTATCAAATGTGTCTCAGAACGGCCCTGCAGGACCTTTACTTCTGTGAAACTTCGGCCACGGGGTTGAAACGCAGGCAGAGTTTTGTGAGAAGTGAAAAGTATAATGAAGTAGTACCTTGTAATGGAGTTGGATTAGTCGTTCGACATTTTCGTGCCTGCTAGCTGTTTTCCAGAGAGGCGAGGTGCTGAGGGCGGAGTGTGTTCCTCTTGGGCCTCATCAACCTTCGGAAGCGAGAAGAATGAGATGAGCCAGCTAGCTAGTGACAATGAAATTAATGCCTACAATACCTCTGAAACCCTCACTGGGGTGAACAAGGACTTTTAAATGTGAAAGATACGTTCCGAACTGTCTTTTCACGAGATCATCACAAAAAGCCAAAGCCAAAGACAACGAGAAAATAGGAACCACTCACGCTTGTAGGGCAAACCTCGTAGCGATGGCACCAGCTATGAATGGTGCACAGAGTTCAGGGAATAACTATCTAGAAATCGCCACGAGCTGTGAACGAGCTGGGAGTAACGCTGCACCACCGAGAAAAAAACTGCCGTTGTAATCAAATTAATTCATGGTGGAGTGTGATGTAAAATGGCCGAGGCGAAAAATCAAAAGTTATGGATGCATTGCGGAATATCGATCATTCTGAGCAAAAAAAGCATGCACTTAACATTTGACTTCACAGCAGTAATCATGACAACCAACTTGGCAAGTTTGACTGGCTTTCCCTGGTCCCTTGACCCAAGTATAGCTAGGCCATCGAAATTCCATTCAAGAACGTCGGGAAGCTCTAACAGAAAGCCACATCGATATTGAACACTTGTGTTGGACTGAAATTTCTTGAGCACCTCAAACATTTCCAATGAGCAGTGTAGAAGTGCCTTTGAACATACGGCAGGAAGGCGCTGCGGGTAGCTGCAACAGGCGATGAACATCGTCTGCAGTGGGGTCGGGTATGTGAATCCATGACTGTCCAGTTGGCGGATTTTCGGGCATTGAATTCTTGCTACTTACCGACCGGTGTTACCAAAATTTGTGAGGGGTTCATTTTCATTACTCGATGAATTCACAAGGTGATCATCAACATTGTCAACATTACTGAGAATTAAAGGCACAATCCACGATATAAGGGTATCTAATTTCACACAACAATGGATGTAGTGGTACAGGTTAATGCAAAAGTATCGAAGAAAACGCGAAAAATTGGCGTATTTAGTGAAATATTAGGCTTCGAAAAAGAATTAAAATCAGGGGACGACCAAAATTGCTTGTAAGGGGTGCTCGGACGAGCTGGCCAATGTGCGGCGTGCAATTGCGCACATCTGACTACAGTAAGATGCCTGCGTGCGACATCTGCGTCCCGGCGCGAATGGTGCAATCTCTACAGCATCTGAGAGCAATGAGAGCTCGTCCAGTTCGGGTGTGTACGTCGGCTGAGCCGATGTAGAGACCCTTATGACGCTAACGGTCCGTTTTTCAATCCGACATAGTCCTCTGTACCAATTACAAAAAAAGTGATGTTTTTATGGCCAACTGTCTATCTTTCCCGGCGATATCAGATCGGCAAGGTGAAACTGAACTCATTGAAAATTTTGGCTGTCTCATAATCACATTACTTTCCCAATGGTTGTTGACAATCTACAATATCCGGATACTTGTTGTAGTTGAAATCACACATAGGAATGATTTATCTTTGAAGGCGATTTGGATACAGCTGAGGTGAAGAAGTTTTTCACTAGGGCTGCTGCCTAAGCACTTGCATGAACAATACACTGAATACCTCCTCAGAAATGAGGTTCTTCATTAGGAAGGTCCAAAAATGTATCAAAATCCCTAACAAGCACAACAAAAGATGATTACTGAAAAGTTCAGTTGACTTCTCAGCTGACATAACTTTATATTACTACAGTTAATATGCAAAAAACACTGAAAAACGAGGTAGGTTGCATTTATCTTCGCATGTATTCTATGCAAATTGGTCACTAACAAAAGATATAGAGAATTTCTGTTTGTGTCAAGATATTACAGCACAATTTTACCGCTAGAGCCTGATACACACGGTCTTTTGTTCAGTGAAGAAATGAATTGAGTCGAAAGCTCCTTCGCGTCCCATACCAGATTCCTTCGTTCCTCCAAAAGGCATGTTGAGATCGCGAGTCTGAAGTATTCGTATATCTGCTTTCAGCTCATTCAAGTCAACCTTTCATCCTTTAAATTGCTCAAGTAGGCGAACCAGGAGCCCTATCCGCCGGTAAGGTATGCTAGTGGAGAAAGCCACGCCCACTTTTCTTGATTCTGCGCCCTCATTTTGCATGAGAATACAAATAGCATTCGCAATGTTTAACTGAAGTCAGTTGAGCGCATTTCAGGTGAACTTTAGATGTAAGGCTGAATCACCTCAAAATTTAAATAATATGCGGCAACCATTACTATCTGATGGGAAATAATAACTACGTGAGAGATCGCAGACAAGCAGAGAATTGGCAAATCACCGCTTAGTGAGGGGCCCATTTTGCGGCGCGATGGGTTTTCTGGAACATCCTCATCGGTGTACCAAGGGAATTACTGTCACCGGCTGCGGTTCTTTCATGACAAGCAGAATGTGCTTTACAAAAAACGACTGGTGAATCTACAGCTCGGAAATACCGAAGCCTACAACCTTGGCCCCACAAAAAAAAAACATCCATGGTGTATCAGCACTTGTAAAACTAGTAGACTCGAAAAGCACAAACAACTAACCAGCCACGTATTACACCAAACTGTGCCAACTCGGAGACCATGTGCTGTATTGATAAGTTCTTTGGCGTTTTCGCTCCACACTGTCGCAGATAGTCCATATGGGGTAGCATTGGCTCGGGATATGACCTCCTCAAAATCAGCTTTTGTAGAATTTTCATATAAATTCTGATCAGAATGAAGGCTCTCCAACAGCTTAAGCTTCTACAGTGTGCTTAAAACTATAGCCTGGAACTGAAATTAATCAGTAAACGGAATGGTAGTTGGTTTTCAGAGAGTGAGGAGCATTCAGAGATTCTAACAATCTCTACATGATCTCCATTTTCTGAAAAGCACCTATTATAACAAATGAGGACCGAATCTGGTTTGAAAAACACAACAAAAACATTAAATGATTTAACATTCAAAAATTAATTAATTTAACTAATTCTATGAAAAAAACATTAATTCCTGAAACTACTCCCTAGGATGAACATGTGACCCCCATAGATAGCACAGGGACCCTGTCGGGTCGAAAAACGGCTTAGATAAGTGTAACAACGACCCCGAAAGCGGCACAGCCGACATACACACCCACAGTCGGACGAGTACTCACAGCTTTGTAGAGGATGGGTGGTGCACCGAGACGCACGCGCTGCACGCGACAGTTTACTGTATCTTCGGGATTGATGCACTGTTCTGGACTATTACTTCCATTACTCGTTTGAATCAGATACTCAGTAGTTCTGTTAACAGTGCTTATAACTTCTATACCGATAGGTCTCTATTCAAATTTCGGGAGAGTTTGAAACGCTCATGATTAAAAAAAATTGTGCACAGCAAGGTGAAAACCCCAATACTCCAATATGGCCTCCAATAGAATAAAAATATCACCTCAACCGATTGGAATGGTGTGACACAGACGACTGGACCGAAAATTTCTTCTTGCATACAACGAGAAGAATCTTCAAGACCCGTTATAACTGTTGGAGCGATGTAGTATCCCTAAATAATACTGAACAAAGATTAAGAAATTACTGAAAGTATAGATCCTCATATTGATTTCGAGGACCAATATTCGCCACTTAGAATAGCGTCGATTCCAGTTACCCTGCCCCAAACTCAAACTCTCTAGCGATATGCGTGGTCAGGACACGCCATCGAGGTCGACTAAACAACAATTATTTTGGCGTGCACGGCGCGCTCAACTAAGGGTGTCAAGAACTTCTACTGCTCATAATTAGAAGGCGAAGGGTCTCAACACGGCCTTCAACCGCAGCTTTTGCCATCATCCTGAGATGATTGCAAAAACTGCGGTTGAAGGCCGTGTTGAGGCCTGGGACTGGAATTCGGTCTTGCCCTTTAGCCTTTTCTGAGCCCTATAGTATGCGGCTGTGTACTTCTAAACTAACATTCTTCAGATTGCCGTCCATGCTGACTTCTCCGCCGCAGTGCACTTTACCACCTTCCTTTTCAGCGTACGAGATGTACAATTTGACCTAAAACAAAATTATAGAGAATGTCTTGAACAACAACAGTAACACAGGAAGTTTAGAAAACTTCACCCATCAAAGGCAC